TTAGAGTTCTCCGCCTATATAAGGGAGCTCAGCCAAAGACCAAAAAGCTTTTAGGGGGTGGGCGAGCTGGTGCCTTCGGTGCCGAGAGGTAGCGCGCTGCTATATTTTGAGCTGCTTTAGACCTTTTACATAAAAAAAAAATTGGATACCGAACCTGCTGTGGCCGATTCAATTAACTGAGTCTCACCACCTTATAACAGAAGAGGGGCTTTTCCCACCCTCTTGGTTGCACGTGTAGCCGGCCTGCCCTGCCACTCTCCTCCCGTGAATCGTAACGAGAAGTGGGCAACTTCAGAACAGATGAGCACCAAAGGCTTGTGAAACAGCAATGCTTTATTTCAAAGTCTTCTTCTGAGGAGCATTTGGTACCTGCAATCATGACCAGACGCACCCCTATCGCCTTCCACGTCACACAACAACACCTCAGCTCAGTCCCTCAGTGCGCAGTCCACCCCAAATCTACATTGGGGGGGCATGCCCTGTCCTCTGAATAGGCGACACACTGTTGGACATGGCCTGTTGTGCACATGAGGCTTGGGGTCCGATCTCTAAACATCATTGCCTATACATTATAATATTTAAATAAAAAGCGCACCTGGCCCTCCGTACCAATTACAGTAACACGTGACAGACTGCACAATTATACGTGCGATTCATCACAGGCAAGCTCACACCGGCTACACACTTAGGCACAATTAATGCAAACAATAATTAAAGGCCAATGAACGTGGAATAATGCGTAGCAATACGACAACGTCCACAAACTACAAGAGTCACGATGCGAGAGAGCGTTGATGGTGGGAAGAGAGCGGTGGTTGGTAGCTGGGAGATGAGCCGTGCTAAACCACAGATACACAAAACTTGGTATGCCGAAAAAAAATCCGTGGATACATAAATACCGCGGATGCGAAAAAAGGTTGGCCAGGGATTTCTGTATATCCAAGTTGTTTACAAAGCATAAACAATTGACATAAATTTGCCATGTTAGGTTTTTAAGAATACTTAAAATGTTTGTTTTTACCTATAAATTTTTTTGAAATCAAGTTCAAAAGTTGTTTTTGTTCAAAGCAAATATTTAGGTAGGGTGGCATGCCAATGGCCACTGGAATCGAACGCCACTCCTGAAGAAAAGTGGTGGCACGAGTAGAGCAGCACAAGACCTCAAAAACAGGATCCCGATGCTAATCCAACGGCCTAACCTCCGCACTGCAGCTGCGGTGAACATATGAACAGTTCAATATGAACAGTTGCATATGAGCAGTTGCATATGAACAGTGAAATACGAAGTTGCATATGAACAGTTGCATATGAACAGTTCAATATGAAGTTGCATATGGACAGTTCAATATGAACAGTTCATATGCAACTTCATATTGTTTCCTGGCGACACAACAAACGATCATTCCACATCCAATGTTCTTGGCTCGCTATCTAAACTCGAACTAGCCTTGTATATGTTGGTATTTACATGACAGCAGCAGTCTGAAAATGCTATCCTTCGAACCTTTCGACCACTTACATTTTACTGTTCGTTTGTAATGCTGTGTTTCGAGACATTTTCTTACATTATGGGCACATTGCAACTGTAAGGTGTTGTTGTTGCATTGGCATGGGGAGTTTTTGATGGTCTGTATAACACATTTTGAAAGAGGCCAGAGTGAAGTCTAATAGTGTACGAGTACAAGAGTCAGATTGACAAAGCAACAATAAAATAGATTCTGGCCTGAGAATATAGGTACATCTGGATGATGCCACATTTTATGGCAGGAGAAATTGACCATATAGACAACTTTTAATCTTGAAAAACCCGACTATTTAAACAATTCCAGTGGGTAAACACAGCGAGTAATATCAAATGCAGAATTCAAGGACCAGTGAATGTAAAGTTAAGCCAAATATTCACGCTATTTTACTATTGAATTCAGTGTGAGATAATTCTAGATTTGAAGCTTTCGTGACTGCAAGGATTCATATTCTTAGGTTTTTTTCGGTAAAGTCACGTAGGTAAAAAATTAAAATTTAAATATATAAAAGTAAAATAAAATACAAATACAAATAAAAATCACGACGTTTCGATTGCAACACAAGCAATCATCATCAGGTATAAATGAAATAGCAACAAAAATTCTAACCAGAAAAACTATAGACAGACATATAAGCAGACAGATATCACCAAGATACATAGAGAGAGAGAGTAACATAGGTACAGAGAGGGAGATCGTCTCTGTTGAGTGGCCTTAAATAGGCAGAGGGGGCGGGGACAGAGAGATGGAGGGGGTTAGATAAAAAAATTAACATGTCAATGAGTGCGGAAAACGCGTAGTAAAGAAAGCAAGTTTGAACATTAGGAGAGAGGGAGAAAGAACACACTCAATTAAATAACCTAGCAAAATATCGAAATTTTATGTAATACAACACAGAGAGTCGGTCAACACACAATTAACGCATAGCCTGGTCGATTACGTATTTCAAAGATTGCTAAGTTAGAATGTAAGTGTGAAAATTCCAAAGAAAGACAAAACATAAAACAAAAGGAACGGAGACACACAGACAGAGCAGAACATAAGAACGACAAAAAACGAGTGTAGACAGAAAAAAGTACACTAAATACATAGGCAGATAGAGAAAACAAAAAACCAGAGAGAAAAAAAGGTAAACTTGGAAATTCCCCGTAGAAGTGGTTCAATTCTAGATTTGAAGCTTTCGTGACTGCAAGGATTCATATTCTTAGGTTTTTCGGTAAAGTCACGTAGGAAAAAATTAAAGTTAAAATTAATAAAAGTAAAATAAAATAAAAATAAAAATCACGACGTTTCGATTGCAACACAAGCAATCATCATCAGGTATAAATGAAATAGCAACAAAAAATTCTAACCAGAAAAACTATAGACAGACATATAAGCAGACAGATATCACCAATATACATAGAGAGAGAGAGTAACACAGGTACAGAGAGGGAGATCGTCTCTGTTGAGTGGCCTTAAATAGGCAGAGGGGGCGGGGGCAGAGAGATGGAGGGGGTTAGATAAAAAATTAACATGTCAATGAGTGCGGAAAACGCGTGGTAAAGAAAGCAAGTTTGAACATTAGGAGAGAGGGAGAAAGAACACACTCAATTAAATAACCTAGCAAAATATCGAAATGTTAAGTAATACAACACAGAGAGTCGGTCAACACACAATTAACGCATAGCCTGGTCGATTACGTATTTCAAAGATAGCTAAGTTAGAATTTAGGTGTGAAAATTCCAAAGAAAGACAAAACATAAAACAAAAGGAACGGAGACACACAGACAGAGCAGAAAATAAGAACGACAAAAAACGAGTGTAGACAGAAAAAAGTACACTAAATACATAGCCAGATAGAGAAAACAAAAACCCGGAGAGAGAGAGAAAAAAGGTAAACTTGGAAGTTCGCTGTAGAAGTGGTTCAATTCTAGATTTGAAGCTTTCGTGACTGCAAGGATTCATATTATTAGGTTTTTTCGGTAAAGTCACGTAGGTAAAAAATTAAAATTAATAAAATATATTTTGCTAGGTTATTTAATTTAGTGTGTTCTTTCTCCCTCTCTCCTAATGTTCAAACTTGTTTTCTTTACTACGCGTTTTCCGCACTCATTGACATGTTAATTTGTTACGCGTTTTTTATCTAACCCCCTCCATCTCTCTACCCCCGCCCCCTCTGCCTATTTAAGGCCACTCAACAGAGACGATCTCCCTCTCTGTACCTGTGTTACTCTCTCTCTATGTATCTTGGTGATATGTCTGCTTATATGTCTGTCTATAGTTTTTCTGGTTAGAATTTTTTGTTGCTATTTCATTTATACCTGATGATGATTGCTTGTGTTGCAATCGAAACGTCGTGATTTTTATTTTTATTTTACTTTTATTAATTTTAATTTAAATTTTTTACCTTCGTGACTTTACCGAAAAAACCTAAGAATATGAATCCTTGCAGTCACGAAAGCTTCAAATCTAGAATTGAACCACTTCTACAGCGAAGTTCCAAGTTTACCTTTTTTTCTCTCTCTTCGGGTTTTGTTTTCTCTATCTGCCTATGTATTTAGTGTACTTTTTTCTGTCTACACTCGTTTTTTGTCGTTCTTATGTTCTGCTCTGTCTGTGTGTCTCCGTTCCTTTTGTTTTATGTTTTGTCTTTCTTTGGAATTTTCACACTTAAATTCTAACTTAGCAATCTTTGAAATACGTAATCGACCAGGCTATGCGTTAATTGTGTGTTGACCGACTCTCTGTGTTGTATTACATAACATTTCGATATTTTGCTAGGTTATTTAATTTAGTGTGTTCTTTCTCCCTCTCTCCTAATGTTCAAACTTGCTTTCTTTACTACGCGTTTTCCGCACTCATTATGTTAATTTGTTACGCGTTTTCCGCACTCATTGACATGTTAATTTTTTATCTAACCCCCTCCCCATCTCTCTGCCCCCGCCCCCTCTGCCTATTTAAGGCCACTCAACAGAGACGATCTCTCTCTCTGTACCTGTGTTACTCTCTCTCTATGTATCTTGGTGATATGTGTCTGCTTATATGTCTGTCTATAGTTTTTCTGGTTAAAATTGTTTGTTGCTATTTCATTTATACCTGATGATGATTGCTTGTGTTGCAATCGAAACGTCGTAATTTTTATTTTATTAATTTTTTACCTACGTGACTTTACCGAAAAAACCTAAGAATATCAGTGTGAGATAGCCATGGCTTTGCTTTGGTTGCGTAAATTACTCATTTTAACAGAACACATTTTATTTTATATAAATATCAACCTGCCTCCAGCTAAGGAAAATTATCAAACAATGACGCCACTCGTCAGATTATTCGGAGACAACAGAAAGAGGTGGTTTATTTTTTTTGGCTGAGCAGAACTGACTCCACATAACCCAGCACAAGCCATTCCCCATTGCCACAACGATGAACCCCCTTTTGATCCACCTGATGCTGGGAGAACAGAAATAATCGTTCTGATAAAAAGAAGACGATGCCAAGTTCCATGCATCCTCTACATTTATTTAAACGTAACAATGACATACTAGTATACCTTAATAAAAGGTACATTTGAAGCCCTCCAGTCTTATTTGCAGTACCATTTCTGAAAGACAGACGACACCAGTGGGGTTAGTAGAGTTCAGTTCATGTATTCACAATAATCCATTGTTTTGCTCACCATGGTACCGGTGCTGTCAATGAGCATTACTGTGGTATCACACAAACTAAGGGTTTTTAGGGAGCGACTGATGTATCCCTGCAAATGTGTTTTTTTTTTTTAACACGAGACAGTTTATACAGCGAATTAATCTTCATTGAAACGGCTTGTATCTTCTCAGTACAATCCTCAAGCTTGTGATGACAGGGTCAGTCCTGCAACAGCTTGAGCCACCATTTTGGGAAATGTTAACAAGAGGCACTGACTTGGCTCACAAAAGTGACATTGTATGAACAGTGAATTTTGTAAATCAACAAATAACTTCGATAACAATATCATGTAGCTATTTCCTCTTATCAAAGAGAATGTTATTGAAGATGAATACTTTCTCACGGGGGTCCTAGTTTTGGATAATGTCCAATTACTGTTTGCAATGATTGGACAAACCCCACCTCATACAAAAGTAGTAGAATCTCCACACAGGTCAAAACTTTGATTTGCCATCTTGAGAGATATGGCCACCTCATTGCCCAACAGGTGGCAACCTCATGCACCTCTCTGCACAGTCCATCAATCCAGTCTTTAAGTTCATGTGACATGTGTGCGGCACCACCACACCCCATATTCCAATGTGTTGAATAGCACCTAATGACACCACCTATGGTGAAATAAGCAAAATGTGATGTACCACAGTGAAAATATGAATTAGCCTCTCCTGCAAAAATGTTGACAAAGCTCTCCAGCACCGAGATGCTATTGACTGCCAGGGCCCCATCTTACACGATTAATGTGGGCCCCTATCAACTATATTCATCACCGTTATTAACGGCCAAGTAGACAAGGCACTGGCCCATTGATTTTGCCCACTGAGTAAAAAGCTAGCAAGCACTTAAAATCCTTACTTTTTATCCAACCCTAACGAATACAAATTGTGCCAGATATAATATGAAAGTAAATTAGGCATGGATTCCTGTAACAGAGAACTGGGCTCCTAGAGGCAGATGTCTCTCCAAATCCAATATAACGGAGGGACGACGCCACGAATCGGGATTAAAATATTGACAAAGATGCAGATGTGAATGGTCTTGCCTTAAATGCTATCCAAATTCACAACACATTTGATTCATAATATATTTCTGGTTAGGCCACAACGGTCTGACCGAATGCGTCCTTATTACCCTCCACCACCCAAGAGCCAAATTGGCACGTGTTCTGCGTTTAACGTACAAATGATTGTTTCTGCTCAACGGTAAGTTGAACAATCTTCATCCAAACTTACAATGAGACTAGTATCTGGTGGAGGAACTTAAAGACGCATATTTATCAATCAGATAGTTACGTCTATTTGATACCAAATGTGGCTGTGAGGATTGTTTTTCAACTCAATGCGGAGTGAACTGAAACAATAATTGGTGTGCTAAACGGTCCTACACGTGCCGGTTGCTTTGTTTGGCCATGTCCGGTGAAGGGGGTTTGACCAACAAAGATTTGGTCAGATCATTACGTGTCCGGAGCCAAACATCAATAATGAATCATATTTTCTGTGAAATGTGTCAATAAAACACAATTTGGAGTTACATAATTGAAAGCTTAAAATGCATTCATATCTATACTATACGATTCCCACACAGGGTAGTTTAAAAAAAGCCTTAAGTCAATGAAAATGACTCGGACATGGGGGCTATGTCGGGGGCCCTTGGTCATCTGGGATAAAGCAGCTAAACGAGACCCCATGTGGGGGCGTGGGGCTTTGAGCGAAAACTCCATTACAACAAAATGCACCCCAACAGATGTTTTCAAAAATACCGTTATTAACCTCATCCAATCCCACCATCACGTCCTCAATGCCCAGGTCCTTCCATTGTTCTACTTACCTCCTGCAATGTACTTTCCCTAAACAATTCACTATTCACCAGTCCCATGGCCTGCATGAAAACATAGATTATCAGTGAACATTTTTTTTCAGGAGGGTTTTGCTCAGGCTAATAAAGTATTGTTTGGTTTATGTTCAGGAACACAGCGGTACGGCTCGAGTCTAGGCACACAATAGAACACTCAATGTCACTATAGGCCTATTGCCTAGCAGCGGGTGACTCTCATTCCTGCATTATGTCAACCCCACCTCTAAATTGCTCGTTAACCCGTCGGTGAAAAAACATTCACGGAGGACGTAATCACAATGAGTGAAATTGAGGATTACTTTGGATGGGCCTGCATAGGAGCAGAGCACGCTTCCACCGAACTTGTGGTGGATCACATCCAGTTCAACCGGCTGCCTCCTGGGATATGTGTTGTCCCTCGGCAAAATCAAACATAGTTAATGGCATAAGCCAATCATCCCAATGCAGAACCCTCCTGAAAAAAAGGTCTTGAGACTCAATGAGGCTTTCCTGGTAAATATTTGGCATTTGTCAAACTCAGCTTTGAGTCTCTGAACCTCAGAACAAGAAACAAAAGCTATATATGAGTTTACATTCCATTCCTTGTACCTAAAATTGTCTAAATGCCACCGACATGAATCAACAGCTGGGCACACAATACTCCATTCCATGTTCAAAGAAAGCACAGGAAAACCATGTTCCTGATTTCACGAGTTCAAGATTCATATATTTTTTTACACAGGTACTCTATGTAACCCCTAATTAAAGACATTTTATACATACCATATTTTATTTACACAAAAACACAATGTGAAATGATTTTTAAACCAAAGTTATAGATCCAAGTCAGCGCTGGTTGCTTTCATGACCTGGTGAACAGGGTTACAAGGTGAACAATATGCACACAGTGGTAACTCTCTTTGAAAATTTCTCCCAAGATTCCACGAAAAAAATACTCTACAAATGTACATGGGGTTCTTGTTGAATGAACCAGTCTACAGTCTCAAAATCAAAAGTGTCTGTTTCCACATTGGTTATATGAAATTCCCATTACAACTGGTCCAATGTGATGAAGTAGAAATGAATGATGTTCAACCTAAATAATTATGAAACCTAATTTCATGTTAGAAATTGGTTACATTTCTTGCATGCGAGTTTTGGAGGTCCAGGTAAGACTGCTGCCCAATTGGCTAAACCATGGTGCACATAGTATTTCCTGAACTTCGTGTCACGCACAAACACTACTTCACATTTCCACCATTTTCATTATCCACGTTTTGCCAAGTTATTTTTACAAGCACTGCCTCCACCCGCCGTAAAACACACAAGATCGAGTGGCTGCAGCACAAAAGATTAAAAGTGATTATGCAAGGACCAACAGGGCAGCTGTTAAAGCCAGCACGCGATGATTTTCTGGACATTTCAGCAGTTACATATAACTTGCTTTGTGGCTGGTTGTGTATGCAACACTTTGACTGAAAACTAAATCTTAAATATCAGTTTGGCTGTGTTTCAAGCATTTTAATGAACAAATTGATTTTAAAACATACACCAGTGCGCTGCATTGAATGTACAAAAGTCTAATCCATATTACCAGCTCAAAATAATTGTGGAAATTATCATTTAAACTAGCTGTACTACCCGGCTTCGCCCAGGACTTGGATCCACCACGCCCGGCCGCCTTTGTCTCCCCAGTGGCGATGTTCACACACCACAGCAATTAGTCGTTTGAGGCTGAGTCGACCTAAGGGAGGCCCAGGACCGGTTAAAATAATCGTCACCGGTGGTGGCCGTGAGCGGGAATCGAACCAAAAGTGTATTTTTATAATTTTTGCATGGTGGACAGTTTGGAAAGTACCCACATGGCAAATTTCCAGTTTGTTGCATGTCGGGAAGTACGCTAAACATTTTGAGCAGACACACATAATCACAACTTTGCCTTTTATATATATGGAGATTACTACCTCGGAGCAAAATGGCCAGTTCTTTCGAGCTGGTGGTCTGAATATGGCCAAGAGCTTTTGTACCTGTAATGCTGCACACACCTGTGTGTGTGTTGTTGAACTTATTTATTTCCAACCTCCAGTAATATTTGTGGCGATTGGATTTTTTTGTAATTTACAGATTTGATTTTCAATGAACCCTAAACATTATATGCCTTAGTTTGGCTCCCAAGTCTTGGATAATTTACCCAGTTACATTTGCAAATTCTTTTCCATTATTACGTGATTTTAGTAATGAGAATAACATTTACAATATATTGTTATAGAGTACTGAATATATATAACACTATGTATGGAAGCTCATTAATTCACACTCCATGGCCATGTGGCATCATGAACGAACAAGCTCGTGGCAGAGTCCCAACAGCCGTTTTAACGTCCCACCCCTCGCACCGCACGCACGTGGCCCGCACGTGGCTCGGGGCCTGCACATTATTCTGGGGCTGCGTATTCGTCATAGCTGCCAGGAGTTAGTTTTGGGTCATGGCACGTGTATGGAAATCCTTGAGTTGATTTAAGTTAGCAACATTACATTGGAGATTGCTGACTGTTGCAAAGCTTATCGAGGTACAGAGCAACATGTTATGAATTAGTATCTTGCTTATTTAACCAGGAAAGCATTGTAGAGTCTTAAGCCTTTTTCAGAAGGGTTCTTCCAAGTTTTTACGATGTTGCTATGTGGAATCTCAATTGAGTAACTTGCAGGTACATTTTCAGCCAATATCAGTGACACTCTTTTTCAACTATGGGAGGAACTCACAGAACCCAGAGGAAACCCATGTAGAACCGGAGAACATACGAACTGCACACATTTAGGCACCCGAGTTGGAAATTCATCGGAGGTTTTTCTTGCTGTGAGGCACGAGTGTTACCCCTTTGCCACCACCCTGCCATATGGAGCCCACTACACTGCAGTGACCTCCCTTGCAGAACTAAAGTCAATCACTACAACCTCGGGTACTTCTATCAATGTCCTACTGTGATGGGCAATGTTTGTGAGCCACATCTACATACACATCACATTCCTTGTGTGCATTGCAATTGTGAAGCCACTTACAGTAAAAATGTAGTTCTGGATAACCACAACCAGAGCAGAGGCGTTCAACGACCAATTATTCATTTCCATGGATTGCAGAGATTCACCACTGCCTTTTAAACACAAAATGAAAGCCCTGCTTATCCAGCAGCGATTCAAATAAGCCTCATACGAGGCAAGCCTGAACACGAAGGGTGTTTCATTCAAAAACAGTAATAACACTCGGACTCCACCAAGATCGGCTCTCCAGTGTCTCCACGTTTAAAACATCGCACGTTGAACTTGACTCGAGTATAGGTAATTTACGAAGCAAAACACTTAAATTGCAAGGCCTTGCACAGGGCCTTAAATAACCAAAGCAACAATGGAAAGTCTCCACCCAGGAAAGCATCAGCAAGTCTTGAAGGCAGTTTCAAGAAGGACCTCTTCCAGTGGTGTTAAGTCTGTTGTCGAGTATTTTTACACATGGGAGGAAACCAGAGACTGGAGAAAACCAAGGCATACAAGAGAACACTCAAATCTCGACTAAAAAGATGAAGCTAGCTGCAACCGACTTGCTATACTGCCTTTGGCAGGCACCATCAAGTTGCTCAGAAGGTGGTTGTCTCATGCTGATAATCATGGCTCAGATTCCTGCGCAAGCCACAAGCCGTCTCCACACCGCCGATTTACGGGACCACATTACCAACGCACCTACAAGTTATACATTAATTAAGTTAATGTTTTAGGCAGCTACTGATCAAAAATGGATAAAAACGTACCCTCATTGAGCATTCTAGCCTGCGGAGATGAACATATCCTCTTACCATCCCACTGCGCTGGTCACTGTACAACAGTGGCGATTCTGAAGAGGGTGGCGGCCTGTGCAGAATCGGTGGCTTTGGGTCGACTTCTGCCGAGCCCTATTTTCCTGTGCAACGGGCGCACGGTGGCAAGTCACACCCCACCTGGCTGCAAATGCATAAAATGTCACGACCAAGTGAATTGGCTGAGGACAAGCTCTGCACTATGAAGGCCCGCCTTACGAGTCAAAAAGGCAGCGTTACGTTTCTTCACACGTGGGTTCGCCAGCCAAGCGCGCCGAGTGGGGCTGGCAAGGCAAGGCGTGCCCACCCCGCCACTCGCGGCTTCTGTGCCCTGCGAGGGGGACGTTCCAGGGTCGTGAAAATCCATTTGTATTGCCGGTAACCGCATTCAAATAAATCTGGAAAAAAACACTAGTCACCTGTGTGCCACATACATGAAACGTTTACCTTTTTTAACTGAGCAACGCATGCCGTTGCCACGTTGTAATGGTGAGCACACTAGCCTTGCAATCCAGAGTTCGCTGGTGGTTTGATTCAATCTCTTGACGTGGCAGCTGATAAAATGGGGCAAGTGTCCAAAATTTTGCCATCGTCTGTCCACCTGGCAGAATATATGGGTTGACCATAGTTGATCAGCAGGTCGCATGCAGTGGGGTAAAGTGTGGGTATGCCCACCTCTTCTGAGACGTCTAATCAGCGTGGTCGACCAAATACCCTCGAGAGCTCCGTCTAGCCGAGTTACGAGGGTAAACGTGCCGTTTGTATGCTTGCACCATGCCAATCAGCGCATTCAATGCTAACATTTTGTTTGAAACGGTTACCGGCTCCTGACTCTCCGGACTGGTAACCAATTCTCAAACGGTTACCGGTTATTTACCAATCCAAGAATGTCCCAGTGTCTGTGGTGACAAAGCGGTTGCACCCGCGGCTGGGAGCACGAGCTCCCTCCCACTGCCGTCTCGACACGGCGGAAGCTCCATCTGTCACACAGCCCTGTCATAGAGGTGCCAGTCATGAGCCAGCTAAATGGGAAAGAGGGGATCGAAGCGAAGTGCGATGAACAAATAACACACAACTGCTCTAACATGAGATTCACATCGCCACATTTTTGGCTTTAGGTTTTCTGAAATGGTTTCTCGATCAGTACTTTATACACACACGCACAATTATATACTGCGTTTACATTTATATACATATAGGTCAGCCTTATAGACTGCGGGGCAAACGCTGTTGGTGAGCACCTATGCAGGCTGGCACAGCACAAGAGGGGGTTGTCTGGCTAGCGCCATGCATACCCATCTCTCCAGTATTGATGTTGACACATCACCGCACAAGGTACTCGTGTTTAGACCGAGTCAACCTAGAGGAGGCACAGGCACGGTTCCAGTACCCATTTACATGAGCATGGCCAAAAATCAGTGTGTGAACCACTCCACCACCACTCCCCACATGCGCACACACATGCACACAAATGCAGTCATACGCAGTAAAACACACTTCCGCACATCTACTCAAAACAACTGTGTTAGACAACAGGACTAAATAAAAACAAAATAATTTTCAAAATTCAAATGTGCAGTGAAATCATCGCAACTCCGCACGTGGTACAACCTGTTAGGCATTTCCCTTTCGAGTTCACGGCTCATGCCACTAGAAACCAACCAACTGCCCTGGCTGCGCCCGCCGTCCCTGCACACCAGAGGTGCTGGGCAGCGCGCCACGTTCCTACAGCGGGACAGACGTGGAGCAGTGTGCCACGTTCCTACAGCAGCAACAAGACGGGGGTCCCGGCCCCAGAGGGAGAGTGCATCAGCGTAGCTGTGGTGGTGGTGGTGGCGGCGGCGACGGCAGCGTTAAGAGTTCGGCACTCCGAGCCCGCGGGCCGCTGTGCACTGCCGCCCGTTGATAAACATGGCCAGCATTAAAGAGTGAGTGGCCATGGCTGTGGGAGATGAGGGAGGGAGAGGCTGGGTTGGACTGGCCGCCTGCAGCTCCCCCCGGCCCCTCAGGAAGGTCTCGCAGCCCCGGGATGTCGGCGGAGACCAGCACCTCGGGGCTCGAATGCAGGCGGCGGCCGCATAGTGGCACTCTACGGCATCTCCGCATGCACAAGCACCTTGCAACACGCACACACACACACAGCAGATTATTTCACGAGGGACTGTCATGCTGTGATTGTTTAATTATCAAATCAGGGGTGGTGCAGATATTTCAGTGCAATGCCATGTCTGAAAACCTGCTGATGGCTAAATGCAGATGAGCTTTCTGGGAAGGAGTTGGAACAATCTGGTATGTTGGCCAAGAATCGGCACACAATAAAACTTACATGCCAGCCTAACCTTCGCCTAAATGTTTGTGCCATTGGCACCAACCGTGGTAGCAGCGAGAAGCTGGCTAGCGGGCCCTGTGCCTCCCGAGCTTTAGGACCACTGCTGGAGGGTGGCATGGCTACTGAAGGTAACCGAAGGAGGAAATAGACCCATGGGGAAAGCTGGAGTAGAAACAGCAAAACATGAACGACATTGAAATGTCAGGACATGCACCAACCTTGCCGCTGATTTGACACGTTATAATATTCCACTTTGCAGAAGTGAAACTAGGTGGGTGGCAGAGTGGTGCAGTGGTAAGGCGAATGCCTCGCAGAAAGATGTGCCTGGGTTTGTATAATTTCCCCCTGCTCTACATGGGTTTTTTCCAGTTCCCTGCCATAGCCAAAAAACCCCACCATACAATATAACTGGTTTTGGCCAAATTATGCCAATGCAAAAGATTTTACCTGAAAATTACTCAAGTGGGATTACACACAGCAACATCGCCCACCTACTATGCCAAACTTGGCAGGAACTTCCTGAAAAAGTCATCAGATCCAGTGAGGATTTCTTGGGTAAATAAGAGGAATAATAATAAAATATGGCTTGACAGGTCAGGCTCTGTGGTACAGTGGGAGGAACGATGGGAAGCATCAGGCAACAGGGATTGTCATTAGCAACAGGATAGCGAGAGTATGTGACAAAGCTTGTACCAGCGGTTGAGCGGATTATTGTAGACAAGCTACGGTTTAGAGACATTGCAAAGTGCCAGTACAGCAGAGGAGGATATCAGGGAACCCAATGGCACATGCCCTGCGCATACAGCTCCGTGCCCAGGGTTCGGTGCTTCCCAATGCTGGCATGCTGCTGCTGCTGCGCCTGCTGCTGCTGCGCCTGCTGCTGTAGCTGCTGCTGCGCTTGCTGCTGTGGCTGCTTCGACGCGCACTGTGCCCTCACCAGGGGTCAGGAGAGCACGCAGCTGCACACGCTGCACTCGTCCTTGTTGTTGGCGTTGTTCATCTTGCGCAGTTTGTGGTCCCGGATCTCACGCACCAGGGTGTAGAACGCATCTTCCACGCCCTGGTACGCGCGCACACATTCCCTGCTTAGCCTCCTTGTACGTCGTGGCAGTTTAGTGAGTGCGTACTGAGGGTAGTGCAGGACAGGAGGAATGGTATGGCAAGTGCAAGACCCACCACCCATGTCTCCCCACTGCTGATACTTAGACATTGCAGAAGGCACTTAATTGAAGGCTGAGTTTACATAAGGAAGCCAAGTCCTGGTTCAAACACCACCTGTTACTGATGATGTACGTGGCCAATTCGGTTTCATATGCCTTTTCAATTGAGCAAAACGAATGGTTTGTTGAGATGACAGGCTGCTGGCCGTCTCCACTTCCACTCCAGGTGCGAAAGCAAAACAAATGTCATCAAATTGGCAGCCGAAAGCCTGACAAAGGTATCCCAGCCTGACAAGTAACGGGAGAAATGGCCCTTCTTCTCAAGGCCAAAGAAAGGTGAACGTTAGCTGCCGTCGTGAATAATGCAAATGACCAGAGGGCATCTCTGGTGCAAAATGTGATTATATCGTGAAGATGCTCAAGTTTTAAGACACTGATGTCCTCGTGCTGTAAGAAATCCATCTGGCCCACGAATGCCTTCACTCGAATATAAACGGCTACACCCTCGTCTCCTAAAGCCACAATCTGAGACACGCCTCGCAACACATGAAAAGATGGACCTGGTCGTGCTCAACAATTCACCCCACTACGTCGCCATCAAAATCAACGACTTAACAGTTGTCATCGTTTACAAGCCTCCATATATGGAATGGCCGTGTCTATTGCTACCACTGCCAAACCACCCGAACATCCATCCATGCTGGCGACTTCAATACCCACCACACCCTGTGGGGACTATGATGCCAACGATTAAGCAGGTGAACAACTGACATCGGGGACAGTGGCAGAAGACCAAAAGACCACGGTACTTTCAAGTCAGCTCGGTGGAAAAATGTTACACGCCCGATTTGTTTTGTTTCATGAGATAAGAATCTATATATATAAAATCGCGAATCTGTCTGTCTGTCTATCTGTGTGTCGCCGGACCATACGCAGTTTCATTGGACGGCGGTTGCCCCTGGCAACGGGTAGCGACGCCTTCGCCGCTTTCATTGGACGGCGGTTGCCCCTGACAACGGGTAGCGACGCCTTCGCCGCGGGGTGGACGCCATTTTTAATTCCCGTTAAAAATAGGCGCACGCATTAACACGCGACTGAGGTAAATTCATCAAAGTTTCACGTCCTCTTCACTCCCCCCCCACCACAATGTGTGCAATTACTATAATAGGGTCGGTAGATTATAATATTATAGCGATTAGACAGTATTATTGTAGCGCGGGGGGGGGGGGGGGGAACGGCACCCGTACCCAGCCTCAGCCGGGTGGGAAAATCAGGCGAGGCCGGAGGCTCTGCACGGTGCTAGGCCTCGACACCCACCACGCGACTCTGAGGTCAATTCATCAAAGTTTCACGTCCTCTACAGAGTGGTGAGGGAGGGAGAGTGGTGAGGGAGGGAGAGTGGTGAGGGAGGGAGAGTGGTGAGGGAGGGAGAGTGGTGAGGGAGGGAGAGTGGTGAGGGAGGGAGAGTGGTGAGGGAGGGACTCGGCCTCAAAACGAGTAACTGGTGTGGCGTATTAACATCGCCACTGGGGAGACAAAGGTGGCCGGGCGTGGTGGATACAAGTCCCGGGCGAAGCCGGGTAGTACAGCTAGTGGTAATTATATGAAGTCAATGAGAAATTTTCTCGACGATTTTCCAAATAGGCAACGTAGACATGTAGTGATCCTATCGGCCTTCAGATTCCACTCGTACACCTGCGAACGACTGTATTGCCGAATTACTGCAACTATGGAGAAATCTGTTGGAATGATTCCCCCACGAATTACCAACTTCAATCACTTCATTGGCTTATCCAGGCAGCTACAAAGGCCAATGTCGCAAGAGGCTTTAGAAAAGCCTTCACTCCCTATTGGTCTCCAAAAATAAAATACTAATTTTGTGACAATTCAATGCCGATCGGAAAAGACCGCAAAAGCATTGCTTGAGTCACTGAACTCGGCAAAAAAGAAAAAAGGTTGAGTGAAGCAGCAGAGGCTCTTGACTTTACAAAAATGAGCCGAAAAACCTGGCACCTTCTAAGGCTGCCGGAAGCAACAGCGACACCAACTAATAAACATCCCCAAGTTAACCCCAAAAACATTGCCGGACAACTAAATCAGCAATTCACAAGCACCGATCAAACAACATTGGATGGCCAGTTAACAAAAAAAAACTCGAACGCAATCTCAACTGCTGCCAACATGCCTCCACATTCTCCGGCCCTTTCTCAATGGGGGGGGGGCGGGGGGGAAAGTAGACACTCGGATTTCCCAGATGAAATCCAGAGGTCTCAATAGGATTATCCAGAATTCATTAAGAACTTGAGATCACGAGCAAAATGTCTCGCCACTTTCCTCATCGATATCCACTGCGTAGGCAAGGAACCAACTAATGGAAAGCAGCTAAGATTATCGTAGTTGTTAAACTCGACAAGGATGCATCAAACGTTAAAAACTACTGCCTGATTTCCCCAGTCAGTGTCTGCTACAAGCTGATGGAGCCACTCCAACGCCAAAAAGCTGATACCTACACTTGAGGATATAGTCGCCAAGGAACATTCCGGGTTCAGAATCGGCCAAAATAGCTGCGATCAGTGTTTGCTTTAATGAGCCACATTGAGGCCGACTTCAAATGCCAGCTAAAAACAGCATTTATCAACGTCTCCTCGACATACGATACTGTACGGTTGAATGGTTTCCTGCTAAAGCTTGCGGAAGCAATACCTTTGCTGCCCAACAATCCGTCTCGTCGCTAAAATACCGATGATTCAACCTCCACCTTGGTGAAGCTGCCAGCTGCCCACAGAAATTTTACAATGGACTTCCGCTGGATCCGTTCTTGCTCCAGTGCTTTGCAATATTTACACCGGCGACACCCTCCCGCAAGTTCATGTACTCGGATGACATCGTGCTGGCAACCCAAGCCCCATCTGAAGGCCCTAGAGGTGAAGTTCAAGAATTGGCGCCTTCAGCCAAACCCCTTCAAGAGTGTCATTTGGTTATTGAAAACATGATCCCTTGTATAAAGGTGTCAGTTTTGGTGCCAGATAAAAGGGTAAAAAACCTATTACTATATCTTGCGACTGGCAAAGGAAGTCCCATAATGTAAATGCTTACCCCGAGCTCTCAATACCCTGATAGTGCGCTGTTTTTAAGTTGTACGCCTTTTGGCGTCATCTGGTCCAATACCAGTGGAGACTAGGCTCTAAGAAAAGCCGTCTCGGGTGTGGACCAATCAATTTCAAGGACAGTGCATATCATTATCAGTGTTATCTCTTTTTGTTTGCATTTTGACTACTTGTGTTGTGGTTATTGCAAACATGATCCCTTGCATAAAGGTGTCAGTTTTGGTGCCAGATAAAAGGGTAAAAAACATTTACTAGTGTCATCTGTCTTCCACTTGAACAACAGCTAAGCCACAAAAACATTAAATGTCAACTTCACTGGAATACCTATAACACATGACCACTAGTCCTGGTACTGACCACCACCACCTTGAACAAGCCAAGAGGAAAACAAAAACACGAGTGAACATTATTCAGAAACTTGCATGAAAAACGTGGGGAAGCGAAACCCACACGTTGATATCAATGCAAGCTCTGGTCCATTCTACTGCAGAGTCGTATGTAGGTGCACAAATGTGGGGTGCCAGCCCTCACACACAAATCTCATCGATACCGAAATCAACACCGCATTTCATATCATCAGCGACACGCTGAAGTCAACTTCGCTCCTGTGCTGCGATGACTTGGGAGAACCACAATCTTATGGACATCGCTCTGCTGCTTCATCAAGACCGAAAAGAACTCCCAAACAATATGCTAAAATCTAGCAAAACTTTCTGGATCTACGCCTCTGCTCTTGCGGCCAAGAATCAAGACATCGGCACTCGCTGGATGGAGAATCGTGGGTGGCTATGGATTTTGCAATAAACACGAACTTTGTTGAGGACCCGACTGTGGAAGTACCGGGCTTCTCTCCCACGACAATGATGGAACTCGCCAAACCATGCTCGAATGCAACATGGGAGATATGCGTACACCTTCCACAAAGTAATAATCAAAGAATTGGCAAACTGCAACTGTGGTGAAGTCAGAACCATCAACCCGGCCACCAATTTATGCACCATCCATGCGCATCCTGGCTGTGTTGCTGCAATAAATAAGCGGCTCCTGCCTCCTTGGATTGGTTAAAGGAAATTGGCATTCAACTATACCATGTTTAAAAACTGTTGCTTTTCCCTCCTGCCATACCAAAGAAGATTAGTTTGTGAAACCATGAATGACTGCATCAGTTTTACACAAATAAAGCACACATAGCCCCCTACTATGTAAGACTAGACAGTACAGTCTTGAGACGGTGAGGCTTTTTTTCTGCGTGAACAATGGATGACGGTTGCTGCTCGAAGTGGCCTCACTACTCGAACTTTCCAGTGGGTGGCACCACACTCAAGCTGCCATGACTGCTGGGCTGTAGACTCTCGCACGCCGGTCCCAGCACAGCTCTCTATGCCCATGACCCCAGGGGTGGCCGAGGGCCGTACCTGCCGCGTCTTGGCGGACGTCTCAACGTAAGGGATCCCGTAGCTGCGCGCCAGGTCCTGCGCCTGTTTGGTGTCGACTGTGCGTGCTGGGAGGTCACACTTGTTGCCCACCAGCACCATGGGCACGTCGTCCGAGTCCTTGACACGCTTGATCTGCTCCCTGCAGTGTGCGGTGGGGGTGGAGGGTGGGCAGCCGATCGATGGCAGCATGAAACTCAACAGGCAAAGGTACACCTACATCATCGTCATCATAACAATAACGATCATTTCCAGCCCTTTACCAAGCCAATGGCTGGGTTAAGAGCTCTAACCACCACGGTGATCTCGGTGTTTGTTTGACCATACTTCACGCTGGTCAGTGCAGGTTGGTGAAAGGGATCCCCAGGACCATTTCTGATATTGCTCGCCACTGCAGTTAACCATGGCTGCGAATTGAAGCTAGTGGTTTGTTTCATAGTGCCCGGCTAACATAAGTGGTGAAGCACGGTCAATCCCCCAAGAATAGTAAAAACCAGTAACCATTTCCACACTCGATTACCGGTGCAGAAAGTGAGGACCCAGTAATCGTTTCCAGTGCAGCTTGACTCATAATTGCACCATTTAATGTGTGCGAACGTACAAACAGCATGGCAGCCTGCGTGGTACCTGTGCCCCATACCTCAGTTAACCCTGCAATCTCTCACACCACTGGCAGTGGAGAGGCCTTCACGAAGTGCAGCTCCAAAGGGTATTTGATCTACTCTTCAATGCAGACCAGACGTCTCGAAAGGGGTGGGCATACTCGCATTTCACCCCACCACACGTGACCTGCCCATCGACCGAGGTGTCCCGATATATACCAAAGGGTGGACATAGGCGAAGGGATTCAGGAAACTTGGACCATTAATTCCACTGCTGCGTTGAGGGACAGAATGGAACCGGTGGCCTCTGGAGAGCAAGTCCAGTGTTACCCATGCCGTTTTTTGAAACATTCTTCATGAGTAGCAAATATGCATTAGAGAAAGCAATTTTAACAACCCTACATTTTAAGCTGTTGGCGTTTCTTACCAGGATTCCCACAACCATTTTCTCCAAACATATCCAAATGTTTGCTTTAAGTAAAAAAAAGTATGCAAAGAACCCCTTGTTTATTCCCAGCATATGATAGTTTGCCTTGCTGACAATAAACACGTAGCCACATACAACCACCCCACTTTATGACAACACTGAAATGAGGCATTATATTTCCATTCAAAGTCAAACACACACTCAATCATCAGCTCGGACGGCCATTTACTCATATAATCGTACAGCAGATCGGGCGGACAGGACCCCCATGCAGTGAGCCACCCACACCTGTACTGGTGGATGTCCTCGAAGGACTTAGAGTTGTTGATGGCGAAGACGCAGAGGAAGCCCTCGCCCGTGCGCATGTACTGGTCGCGCATGGCGCTGTACTCCTCCTGCCCGGCCGTGTCCAGGATGTCCAGCAGACACGTCTCGCTGTCAATCACCACCTGCTTGCGGTACGAGTCCTGAGATGACAAAAACAGTGCCGATTAAATACAGCATGGAAATCCTTTCTGTCAATAAACTAGGGTCTCAAAGTGTATTGAGGCACTGTCAGCTTGGTCACCAATGGGCTGAATAAAACCCATCATGTAAAACTGCTTCTCATAATAAGTTTTGCCTAGTCCAATTAGGGGTTATTATTTACATTTTGGATGAATGTAATGTCAGAATCCAATGTTGTTAAAAGTACAAAATGTGTCACCAGGTGTCCAATTATGGCTTAATTGACCAGGAAAGGAATACGGAGTCTCAAGACCGTTTTTCAGTTGGATCCTGCCAAGTTTTTTCAGCAGGGTGTGATGTTACATCATGTAATTTTTCAGCACTGGGATGTTTGGTCAATACGAGTTACATCGTTGTTTAGTCACTTAGAATGGAAATAATAAAATAATCAAAATAAAACAATAATTCTCACGACGTTTCGGCCACAACGCAAGCAGCTGTCCTCAGGTGGAGAACAGGTCTGTCGAGAAGACAGAGTTTGAATGACACACCCCAGGCTTGGAGCGACTATTTAAGCTGGGATGGAGGGGGGAAGAGCGCCTTGACAAAAAAATTGCACATCAAGAGGAATTTTGCATATTTATGGGAAATGCAGATATGCGATTAGTACTACTTGTGAAATGCGTAGGAGGTTTGGTGGGGGGTTTAAAGTCATTATGCCCGTGCATTGTGCAGGATTAGCAGCATCAAAGGGAGGGGATAGGGGTAACATTAATAAAGGGAAGGAATGTTAATAGTATGTAGCTGCAGTAACTAAACCACCACGTAAACAACTAAATTTCGATTTAAAGCTTTCGTGACTGCAGGGATTCATCTTCTTGGTTCTTTTGGTAAAGTCACGTAGAAGGGAAGTAATAAAATAATAAAAATAAAACATAACAAAATAAAATAATTCTCACGACGTTTCGGCTACAACGCAAACAGCCGTCTTCAGGTGAAGAATGAGACACTGCCAAGCTAGCAGCTTATATATCAGCTGGGTTGGAGGTGGAAGAAGAGCGCCTTAACACAAATAATGTGCATATCAAGAGGAATTTAGCTTTTTCATGCTATAAAAATGTGCATATCAAGAGGAATTTAGCATATTCATGCTAAATTCCTCTTGATATGCACATTATTTTTGTTAAGACGCTGCCAAGAAGACACTGCCAAGCTAGGAGCTTATATATAAGCTCCTAGCTTGGCAGTGTCTTCTTGGCAGCGTCTTAACAAAAATAATGTGCATATCAAGAGGAATTTAGCATGAATATGCTAAATTCCTCTTGATATGCACATTTTTATAGCATGAAAAAGCTAAATTCCTCTTGATATGCACATTATTTGTGTTAAGGCGCTCTTCTTCCACCTCCAACCCAGCTGATATATAAGCTGCTAGCTTGGCAGTGTCTCATTCTTCACCTGAAGACGGCTGTTTGCGTTGTAGCCGAAACGTCGTGAGAATTATTTTATTTTGTTATGTTTTATTTTTATTATTTTATTACTTCCCTTCTACGTGACTTTACCGAAAGAACCAAGAAGGTAAACAACTAAAGTATAAACTACATAGTATCATCAGTATACTAAATATACTCTCCAATACGCTGAGCTGCTAACAGTAAGTAATACATTACAATTCTATGTCGCAAAAAATATAATATGCTTCCAGCTAAACTTTATTCTCTTACATCACCGAGTCTACACCGTACAATATACTGCCATAGACAAACCCAACATTAAAATATATACTGTATTACTATACACCACCTTATACATTGTAATATTACACTATGTATTATTCTACCCACCCTAATGTATATCACACTGCTGTATATTCACTATACAACTTTCTACATTGTATTAAACATTACAATTGTATACTATTTATTATTATACAATCCGCTATACACTGTACCATTGACCGTCACGTGAAAGATACTAAGAGGAAGCAACGAAATATGTTAATGGGAGAGTAGTGGTAGGAGACTTGCAGCGGAGCAAAGAATCCATTCCCTGCGGAGAAAACAAGATATATAGTCAATGCCAGTGAGTGGAACGTGGTCTGAAAGTCACCGTAAACGTGAACACAATCAGTTAAGATCCAAAATGGTTTATTACGTCCTTCCAATGGTTGCTGAGCCAGAATCCATCTTCTCGGTTGAAATTGTTTCTGTGTTTGTATATGTGGATCGCCTGATGAACGAATCTCTCACGGTAGCCAGATGGCTTGCAGAGAACCTCTGTCTTGGAGAAGTCAATATCATGTGAGCCCACTGAATTGTAATAGTGATCTGCCACGGCTGAGGTGTTTGTCCTACCGTGTTTCAAGTCTGCTTTATGTTCACGGATGCGGTCCGAGACATGTCGTTTGGTTTATCCAATGTAACTGCTACCACAGAGGCAACTTAGTTTGTAGACGCCAGGGTACTGTATGTCTGGAACCACATCTTTTACAGACGGGACCAGATCACGGATTTTATGTACTGTGTTGAATCGGACCTGGATCTTGTGTTTTATCAGGATTTTGGAGATCTTTTTTGTGACCCCAGCAATGTAGGGTAAGGTGATGGTTTTGAAAGACTCCTCAACAGGATCCTTCTTGATGGTTGGAGTGATGGCTTTGTGGATTGTGTAGTCGGAGTAACCATTAGCCTTAAGAGCTTGGCATACGTGTTTGAGTTCACTGGCAATGTGATCCTGGTCGGAGATGCATTGGGCTCTATGGTATAGACTCTTGATGAGGGAATTCTTCTGGGATGGATGGTGGTGGGAATCCGGTTTTAGGTAAGCATCCATATGGGTGGCTTTCCTGTAGACAGAGTGGCTCATTGAACCATCAGGTCTCCTTTTAATTAGGACATCCAAAAAGGGTAGCTTGCCATCTTTTTTGACTTCCATGGTGAATCTGATGGCTGGGTGTATGGAATTGATGTGGTCGAGGAATTGGTCTAGAGCAGGCCGGCCATGTGGCCAGATGACAAAAGTGTCATCTACGTACCTCTTCCATAAGGTCGGGCGTAGAGTGGCAGTCTGGATGGCGTCAGTCTCAAATTTCTCCATGAAAACGTTGGCTACAACCAGAGATAGCCAACGTTTGGCAAGCTACCCTTTTTGGATGTCCTAATTAAAAGGAGACCTGATGGTTCAATGAGCCACTCTGTCTACATATACAAACACAGAAACAATTTCAACCGAGAAGATGGATTCTGGCTCAGCAATCATTGGAAGGACGTAATAAACCATTTCGGATCTTAACTGATTGTGTTCACGTTTACGGTGACTTTCAGACCACGTTCCACTCACTGGCATTGACTATATATCTTGTATTCTTCGCAGGGAATGGATTCTTTGCTCCGCTGCAAGTCTCCTACCACTACTCTCCCATTGACATATTTCGTTGCTTCCTCTTAGTATCTTTCACGTGACGGTCAATGGTACAGTGTATAGCGGATTGTATAATAATAAATAGTATAAAATTGTAATGTTTAATACAATGTAGAAAGTAATATATAGTATCGTAATTGTTTAGTGAATATACAGCAGTGTGATATACATTAGGGTGGGTAGAATAATACATAGTGTAATATTACAATGTATAAGGTGGTGTATAGTAATACAGTATATAATTTAATGTTGGGTTTGTCTATGGCAGTATATAGTACGGTGTAGACTCGTGTGATGTAAGAGAATAAAGTTTAGCTGGAAGCATATTATATTTTTTGCGACATAGAATTGTAATGTATTACTTACTGCTAGTAGCTCAGCTTATTGGAGAGTATATTTAGTATACTGATGATACTATGTAGTTTATACTTTAGTTGTTTACGTGGTGGTTTAGTTACTGCAGCTACATACTATTAACATTCCTTCCCTTTATTAATGTTACCCCTATCCCCTCCCTTTGATGCTGCTAATCCTGCATAATACACGGGCAAACATGACTTTAAACCCCCCGCCAAACCTCCTACGCATTTCACAAGTAGTACTAATCGCATATCTGCATTTCCCATAAATATGATAAATTCCTCTTGATATGCAATTTATTTTGTCAAGGCGCTCTTCCCCCCTCCATCCCAGCTTAAATAGTCGCTCCAAGCCTGGGGTGTTGTCATTCAGACTCTGTCTTCTCGACAGACCTGTTCACCACTTGAGGACGGCTGCTTGCGTTGTGGCCAAAACGTCGTGAGAATTATTTTATTATGTTTAATTTTGATTATTTGATTATTTCCATTCTACGTGATTTTACCGAAAGAACCAAGAAGATGAATCCCTGCAGTCACGAAAGCTTTAAATAGAAATTTATATCTTTGTTTAGCTTTGACAGGAACTGCAGAACCCAGAGGGAAATCCATGCAGAACAGGGGGTGAACATACAAACGTCACACAGAAAGGCGCCCAAGTCATTATTCTGATCCAGAACCTTCTTCCTGTGAGGCACGTGTGACTAGACCACTGCACCACCACTCTGCCTCTTGACTGCTGCGCCACCCTGCCAGATGAATCCCATGACCTCAGCAGTCACGCAGTGAGCACTCGGAGCTCCTCCCTTGTGGACATCGTGTGTTGCTGCAGCAGCGGAGGTGGGGAGCGGGGGGGACGTCACCTCGATGGTGGGGTCGTATTCGTCCACAAAGTGGTTCTGGATGAGCTGGATGGTGAGGGCACTCTTGCCCACGCCTCCTGCGCCAACCACCACCAACTTGTACTCCGTCATCGTGCCCGCCGCCTGCGTGTGCTCAGTCACTCCGTTGCGGACAGCCTACGCACCACCAAAAACAAAGATCCCCCTTGTACTCTACTGTTGAGGCAAGTGCTGTTAGCTAGCACCGAAGGCTGGCATGGCAGATGAGGCAGTGTGACCAGCGCTGCACTCCACCACACTCGGAGACATGCACACACAGGCATGCGCACACACGCAGGCACACGTCCACACAGGAACCTCCTTGCCCACCCTGGGGTTGCCTTGCTGCTGGCAAAACACTGAATGTGCTGCTGCATCATATCCACATGACAGCAAGGGGCTCCTCAAGGACTTAAATGGACAAGGCTCAATTATTGCAACTCACTACTCTACGGGACGTCTGGAAAAAATATTAGCAAGCTGCAGCAAGTACAAACCGCTTTTGGCATGAGTCATGACGGGTACTGCAAAATCCGACCATGTCCTGGTGCTCGCTGAGTTGAATTGGGTTCCAGTTGCTGAACGAATACATTCTAAGATTGCACTCTTCACATACAAAGTGCTTGCCACAAATGAACCACAATATCTTGCCGATCTTGTCAAGGAGCATAAACCGTGACAGAAAGGCCATTCATCCTCTCAGCGACTTTTGGCAAGCCATCAAACAAAAATGGTGCCTGCATCACGCGCCTTCATATGCGCTTCCATGGCCATCTGGAACGCTCTTCCTTCTGATATTAGGAAGCCAAGTGAGCTATGCACTTTTAAATCTAGATTGAAATGCAATTTCTTTAGAATTGCATTTTGTGTTTAGTTTGTTATCCTTCCTCCATACTTCCAATGAGTACAATTGGCTACGGAGGTGCGAAAGAAGTTCAACATACATACATAAACTCAATGATGACCACGATGTATAGGCATCCCTCGTGTAACGCGCCTGCCCCCATGACCCCCCCTCCCTCCCCCCATAGCACGAATTCTAAGTAACGCGATTACCGTAATCTTTTAGGGGCATACTTCACACTTATGCTCTGCGTTTCAGTTACCCACGCAAGAAAAAAAACTTTAATAATTGTCAAATTTTTCCAAAAAATAATAATTCTATACAAATTCTAAGTCAAATATTATATTCTTTGAGTCTTTCAGTAAAGTCTCGTAGATAGGTTCCAAGAAAATAACAAAAAAATAACAAAAAACTACGACATTTCGATCACAACACAAGCGATCGTCATCTTTTTTCCTTCTGATGACGATCGCTTGTGTTGTGATCGAAACGTCGTTTTTTTTGTTATTTTTTTGTTATTTTCTTTGAACCTATCTACGTGACTTTACCGAAAGACTCAAAAAATATGAATTTCTGCAGTCACGAAAGCTTTAAGTCAAGATTTAAAATATATCACGGGCTGGGCGTAGCCGTCGTAAATCTGCCACCTTTGCTTGCATTACGCGTGCTGATGCTGCTGCTGCAAGAAGCCCACGGAAGCAACACGTTCCTTCGGAGTGGGCAGGTAGGAACTTGGTTGGACAGCGCATTCGTGCACGATAGAAAGCTCGCGGTCACATGACGCACTTCAACCAATCCGGGAGCGTACATGTTTGGGAGGGGCTATGCATGACAGACAAATAATCCCTGGTGAATAAAGTTTGAACCACTTCTACGGAGAAGTTTTAAGTTTGTTTTCTCTCTCTCTCTCTGGTTTTTTCGTTGTCTCTCTCTGCCTGTGTATCGGTCTTCGTGTCTGTGATTTTTCAAATTTCACACTTAACTTCTAATTTAGCAATCTTTGGAATAACGTAATCAACCAGGCTATGCGTTAATGGTGTGTTGACCGACCCTCTGTGTTGCATTGCATTACATTTCGAAATTTTTGCTAGGTTATTTAATTTAGTGTCTCTCTCTCCCTGCCTCCTAATTTTTTCAAGCTTTCGCGCACCATACCACTCATCGTGCTACTCATTGACATGCTAATTTCTCTACCCCCTCCATCTCTCTCCGCCCCCGCCCCCCTCTCTCAAGCTTTTACACCTTGCCACTCACCGTTGCCACTCATGGAGATGCTAATTTCTCTAACCCCTCCCTCTCTCTCCGCCCCCGCCCCCCCTCTCTCTATTTAAGGCCTCGACACAGAGGCGTAGTTTCTGTGTTCCTATGTTTGTGCTCTCTCTATATATCTCTGTGATATCTGTCTGCTTACATGTCTGTCTATATGTCTCTGGTTCTGTGTTTTATCTCTCTCTCAAATTTATCATTCTCAGGAAGAACGTAATCAACCAGGTAGGGTGTTGACTGTTATGTTATCCGACTCTCTGTTGTATTACATTACATTTCTAAGTATACTAGATTTGTGTTTCTATTTATTTAATATCTGATGATGATTGCTTGTGTTGCAATCGAAACGTCGTATGCTAGTATTTAATTGAATTTATTATTTTATCTTTATACGTGACTTTACCGAAAAAACCAAAGAATAATCCCTGGTGAGCAGTGTAGAACTGTTGTTCCTACCTGTATAAAATGAGGCCTGAAGTTACTCTTTATTAATTATGTCTGTGTCCGAGTATTTTTTTAAATCTTAACTTTTATTTTTCTATGGTAAAAATAATAAAAATATCACGACGTTTCGATCACAACACAAGCGGTCGTGATCAGGAACAGGGAGGTTAGCCTCTGAGCGCAAGCTGTTTATAAAGGTTTAGAGATGGGCGGGGCAGCTAATGTTAATGTGGGAGAGGGCTTCGACACCGGCAGTAGGTCTACATCAATCAAAGCATTGCGCCTCGCTCCACACACCCACACACTGCTGACGGTGGAGGTTGACAAGAAAACACAAATCAAGTCATGACCCAAAGTGGTTGATGACATCTTTCCAATGATTGCTGAGTTTAAAACTGTCGTCTCGGTTGAAATTGTGTCTGTGTCTGTATATATGGATGACTTCGTGAACAAATCTTTGTTGATAGCCAGTTGGCTTTCAAAGTACCATGGTATTAGAGAAAGCAATTTCACGTGAGCCAGCCGCATTAAAGTAATGATCAGCCACGGCAGAAGTATTGGTCCTGCCGTGTTTCAGATATGCCTTATGTTCACGAACACGGTCCAAGACACGTCATTTGGTTTCCCCAATGTAACTGCTGCCGCAGATACAGCTTAGTTTGTAGACGCTGGGATATTGCATGTCAGGAATCTTGTCCTTCACACATGGGATCAGATCATGAATTTTATGCACTATGTTAAATCGGACCTAGATCTTGTGTTTATTCAAGATTTTGGAAATCGTTTTGGTTATCCCTGCTATGTAACGTAAGGTGATGGTTTTGATTGGATCTTAAGATGGCTCCTTCCTCACGGTTGGGGTGATGGCTTTGCGGATTGTGTAGTCAGAATATCCATTCGCTTCGAGAGCCTGGTGTACGTGTGAAGAGGAGTCGAGAATGGTTTGAAGCACTTCTTTACACTCGTTCCACAACCAACCCCCGAACACCCGTCTCACAACGCCCTTTAAAGCATCTCCAATACACATTCCCGTCTGGCACGCCTTGGTCCGGGTGACGTCACTGCCCTTTGACCCCTGACCCCTGACCCACACATTCCGCCCTTTAACCCATCTCCAATACACATTCCCGTCTGGCACACCTTGGTCCGGGTGACGTCGTGTTTGCATGGTGCGTGTGCGTGGCTCGCAGATCCCCTACATCACCCCCCCCCCTTCCCTTGAGACCAAGCCGTCCTCGGCTCAATAAATGTATGCCTCGGCCGTTCAAAGCCAACTGCGGCCGGGCGCGTGCAATCCAACAACAAAAATAATAGTGCAATAAGCAAAAGAAACACAACACAATTTGCCCTCTGTCTCCTTGTTAACACGAGTGCCGCCACTGTCGCCGACCTTCCCCACGATCTGATCCCTCGACCGAACACAACAGGGTTGCAGGGATGTCCGTGTCCACGGCTGCGACAAGGCGTGAGCGGTTCACGGGCTCCCGTCCTGTGGCCAAGTCCTCTGCTGCGGCTGTGTCTTTAGCCACGGATGGCGACGGGACTCGTGCTGGCGTTCCGGTCACCTGTAGTCCTGCAGGATGGACAGTGTCTGCATTGTCAGTTGGTTGCGTAGTAGGCCGTGAGTGTGACAACCTCTTCCCACCCGGCCGAACTGACGATGAAGGTGGCGAAGGTGACGATGCTGTTAGGGGCGGCTCGGCCACGACGTAACGTTTGAGCCTCGAAGGGTGAACATACCACCTATGCTTTCCCATCTGAATGCGAACACACCGAGGTCGCAATACCTGCAAGCACTGTGACCGGGCCCTGCCAGGGCTGGTGCAGCTTCGCTGACGTCCGCAACGGTACCTGCGGGCAGTGCAGCCAAGCCAAGTCACCCACTGCAAAGGGATCCGTGACCGGCGGCTTAGCCTGCAAGCGCTCGTTCGCAGCTTGTGCCGACGCGGATGCTGCCGAGGCCGCCTCGCGAGCCTTGCGCAAATACTTGAGCGAGTGGCGGAACGCGACTGGCCAATCTCCCGCCCACGACGGGACAGAGCGCAAATGTGCCTCAATTGGAGGGCTCGGCTTGCATCCATACATCAAGAAAAATGGTGAATATCCCGTTGATACATGTGGAGCTGAGCGATAGGCCGTCAAAACCCCAGGGATGTGTAAATCCCAGTCCGTTTGCTGGTCATTGACCAAGTGACACAGCATCTCCGAGATGGTGCAGTTAAAGCATTCCACCATCCCGTCCGTTTGTGGGTGGTAAGGGGACGTTCGCACCTTTGACGCCCAGCATGGCATACACCTCCTGCAACAGTTTGGTTGAAAAGTTCCTGCCCTGGTACGTCAGCAGCCGCTCTGGAGCCCCCTTGTCAGCGACATAGCAATTTACAAAGGCGTCCGTTATGGACGACGCCGTCTGGTCGGGTAACGGGCAGGCAAAGGGCCATCGTGTAAAGTATTCCATCCCCACCAATAGGTATCTACACCCTCGAGGGGTGGCGGGGAAGGGGCCCAAGATAGAGGCCCACGAGCTCGTTTACCCGGGAAACTTTAATTGACTGCAGGAGAGTGGTTTGCACGACCAACGGGG